TCCTCGACCTCTTCCTCCTCTTCCTCCTCGTCCTCCTCCTCCTCCTTCTCCATGTTGACGTTGGCCACACCTGAGCATCTGGGCTGTTGCGTGTTTTTCGTGAAGCAAAAAAGCAAAAGCGCCGACTCGGGACAGTGAAAACAAATCATAGCTGCTGTCAGTGCGGATGTAAGAGATGCAAGAACAATTTGTCATAGATAAGGTGCCCACGAGGGCGCAGAACAACTTGGCTAAGCTCTTCCTCCTCCTCCTCCTCCTCAAAGTCTCCTGCGATTCATCCTTCCCCGCACCCCCGCATCCTCATCCTCGTCCTCCTCCCCCCCCGTCTCGCCCTTCCCTCCTCCCTCCCCTCTGAACCCCAGAGCCCACAAGAACCCCCCTCAAGTCTCCAAAACCTTCCTCGTCCTCGTCCTCTTCTATCCTCCTAGCAGTGCATTCCCTCCCTCCCTCCCTCCCTCCCTTCTCCTCTCTGACTCTCTCCCTCGCTCTCTCCTCCTCCCCCCTTCTTCCTCCCCCCTCCTCCTCGTCCCTTCTCCCCATCTCTCCCCCATCCCCACTTCCTCATACTCCTCATTCACCCCCTTCCCCCTCCCACCTGCTTCTCCTACGACGACGACGACGACGACGACGACGACGACGACAGCGACCACCACCACCACCGCCACCAAGATGCCGACGACGTCGACAACGCTGACGACAACGCCGACGCCGACGACAACGATGGCCACAACCACAACGTCCACTCTCCAGGGACGACGCCGCCGACGACGACGACGACCACCACCACGACCACGACCACGACGTCGCAGACGACGACGACGACGACGACCACGACGACGACCACGACGACGACCACGACGACGAAACCGATCGAAACTGTCCGAGGACATCCGAAAACTGTCAAGACAACTCACGCACATCGACCGAAGACCTCCAGAACCCTCCAGAAAACTCCAGGAAGACTCCCGAAGTCCCTGACATCTACTGACATGATTTGCTCAATCTGAGGCCCAATTTCCCAACCGCTTCCCAGGGGCAAGTTCCCCGCCCAGGATCAATTCTTGATCCTGGGCGGGATGACGACGCCGACGACGACGACCACGACGACGACGACGACGACAACGACGATGACGACGACGACGACGACGACGACGACCACGACGACGACGACGACGACGAAGACAACGACAAAACGATCACGACGACGACGACAACAACGGCGCCGACGACGACGACGCGGAAGACGACCACGAGGAACACGACAACGACCTCGACGACGATGCCGACGACGACCACCACGACGACGATGACGCGGACGCCGACCACGACGTCACGACAACGACCACGACAACAACGACGACGACGACGACGAAGACGACGACTACACAGACGCCGACGACGACAACGACGACGACGACGACGCCGACGCCACCGCCACCAAGACGCCGACGCCGACGACGACGACCACGACGACGACGACGACGACGACGACGACGACGACGACGACGACGACGACGACGACGAGGACGACGGCAACGACGACGACGGCGTCGAAAACGACAACGACACAGACGACGCCGACGACGGCGACCACGACGACGCCGACGCCGACGACGATGACGCGGACGACGACCACGACGATCACGACAACGACCACGACAACGACCACGACGACGACGACGACGACGACGACGAAGACGACGACTACACAGACGCCGACGACGACGACGACGCCGACGCCACCGCCACCAAGACGCCGACGCCGACGCCGCGACGCCCCACGCCGACGCCGACGCCGAAGACGACGACAACACGACGACAACGACGACGACGACGACGACGACGACGACGACGACGACGACGGCAGCAATCACGACCAGGACCACGACAACGACCACAACCACGACGACGAAGACAACGAAGACGACGACGACCACGACGACGGAGACAACGAAGACGACGACCACCACGACGACGACGCCACTGCCGACGACAACACGGACGACGACCACGACGACCACGACCACGACCACGACGATGACGACGACGACGACGACGACAGCAACAATAACAACAACGCCGCCGCCGCCGCCGACGCCGACGCCCCGACACCCAACGCCGACGACGACGCCGAAGACGGCGACGGCGACGACGACGACGACGACGACGACGACGACGACGACGACGACGACGACGACGACGGCAACGACGACACGGACGACGACGACGACGATACCGCCGCCGCCACCGCGGCCGCCGCCGCCGACGCCGCCGACGCCGACGCGACCGCCACCGAGACGCCGACACCGACCCCCAGATGCCCCATGCTGACGCCGACGCCGAAGACGACGACGACGGCGAAAACGAAAACGTCACCGCCACCGCCGCCGCCGCCGACGCCGACGCCGACGCCGAGGACGCTGCCGACGCCGACGACGACGATCGCCGACGACGATCGGCGACGACGATGACGACGACGATCGCCGACGCCGAGGACGTT